CGTATATTGTAACAACCCTTCTAAAGTGGTTGTCTTGGCTTTTTCTCGCGAAAGGTCACACAGGGGTGGACAAAATGTTTAAATGGTGTCAACAACGTAGTGTTCAGAAAAGTCGGAAACAATTTAATCTACTTCAGAGATTTGACAAAATAAATTCCGCGCAGAAAGGAAGCTTGGGTTACAATAACAATACTCTTTCAGCAGGTTCACAGCAAACATATCTGAAGTATCTATCATTCAATGCAGCTTCTCTGTACCATGCAAAGAATGGTTATAGATCTTATAATAGAAATTTGCAAGCTTGCATAATAATCTTCAGGTAAATTGTTTTATCTTTTTCTGGTTTTGGAAGTTGTGTTATATCAAAAACTTTGTTTTTACAGCTTACAACGCTAGCTTTTAACAGTTACTTGATATTATCTAACTCACATACTTTCACAAAACCTTGAAAAATTCTAGTAATCTGCAAAAGATGATTTGCAACTAATATTTTGATTGAAATTGTAACTTTTTGGGCACTTAGGCGCAGAAAACTTTATTCAATTTAAAATTTGGTCTCAAAAATGTTGTCACGAAACCTAGGCGTTCTTATGTATCTCAAAGGGATTTGGTAAAATATCCAAAAAAGAATTAAGTTTTATTAGAGCTCGAACTGCAACACGGTTTTTAAGAATAAGAGTGTGAGCGGAAGGAAAAGGTGTAGGTTGTTTCTGTCTGTAACATCTGTTTAGACTTTGCTGGCGATTAATGGAAGAGTGTTGGTTGTCTGGATTTTGAAGCTGTTGCTTTTTGAACTAAAAATGATCATACAGGTATTGTAAACAATTTTTTTTCTCTTTTGCACTACAGCTTTTTTAAAATCATTTTCTGGATTATTCCACAACAACTTCAAGCGAGCAAAAAACTTGTGGAGTTTGTAGAACAATGTGGACAACTCTTGGAAACGGTGATCGGTTACTAATTTTTTAAAAAAAAAGTAACATTTTATTTAATGGTCAAAGAAAAACGAGTGAGTAAATGAGGAATTCAGTGGTTAATCTTGTGGTAGTAACATAATGAAACATCTTTTTATGTTACTAACTGCGATATTTGCATAGATTAGTACTATTTGTATATGTTAGAATTATGTATTTTGCAGAAGTTTCTTCAAAACCGTAGCTTGAGGTTTATTTTTAGCTCTTTTTGCGTTCTTTCACGTTCACTGTGTAGAATTTCCTCAATTAAAACAGGACAATGAGAAAATAATGTTCTGAAGCCTATTTTTCTCTGTTTTTATCTTTAAATGATTGTGTTCTGGTGTTTCTCTTTTGTCAAAGAAGTGTTAAAATAGAATGTATCATCAGTTTTTCTCTATTTTAGAGTTGAAAAATGAGTACGGGTCAAAATTACTTCATACATCTTACGAGGAGCAGATTTGATAGCTTTAAGAGGCATCTTGCCCATATACAGAATCTCTGTGATATACCGTGAAAAAGTTAGAGTTACGACTGAGAGAAGCAGTGCGTAATACTATTTGTGGTGAAAAACAGTTTATTTATTTTTAAAATCTTAAAGCAACTCACAATTACTTAGAGGGTTTACGATTAGTTTCTATAAGGAATTCGTCTGAAATAATGACAGACAGGTCAAATAAATGCTTTGTATTTCCACTTATCTTTTTGCGGCATTTGGTCAATTTTGGCCTTTTTTATGTGCTGTGCTTTACGCAGTTTATGCATTGAAAAACAACATTATTTCTAAGAGATTTGTCTATGTGGTATCAGAGATTTATTGATGCAGTAAAGGATCAAACCGCGAAGCACAATAAGTTTAGTGTAGCCAATGAGTAAGCATAATTTTTGCAAAATAGCATAGCTTTTAGCTACTTCGTAAATAACTGTGCAACAGACTGGCGTTAATTTACTATTGTAAAACAAATTGGGTTCTGCATGCTGATTTTTTAGAGTTGAAGAAATTTTTACTATTTTTTTTGTCTAATTAAATTTTTTAATTGTAAGTGATTTATTGTTAACATGTATTTGTTATGAACACATTTACCTAAGTATGTTCAAATTCACCAGTTCTTAGCAAGGATGGCAGTAAAGGCAAATAAAACTGAATTTGTTAAATTAAAGACATTTAAAGGTAAAATATTTTTAAAATTAAAAGATCAACAACTTTTAATTCAATTCAAGCGATTATTACCAAATCTCACTGAAACCAGTTTAATGTTTCTCAGAAAGTTTGATCAGTAAGCAACTTAGTTTCTTCTTGTTATTTCAGCCAAACTTTGTGAAAACAATTTAGTTTTAACTACTTTTTCATTTTATTCAACTAATCAATAAAGCAGGTGAATGTAAAAAGTCGTTTTCCACTGTGCATTTGTTACATCATATACTCGTTTGTAGTTATGTTTATGTACCCAGTAAAAAACTTAACCTATTTTACGTGTAACAATTGATATTTGATTAGTAAAACTTTTTTGCAGTTTTTTGAAATGAACTGCTGTTGAGGTGATGCAATTCAGCTGTAAAGTAAATATTTAACTTTTGCTCAATTCAGCCTGCGTAAAAAAATAATTAAATGTTCGTTTATACTCTTTTATAGGCTATATACGGCTTCATGGATTACTCGCTCTTTATTTTAAGACGTAGCTTATAATGATTTAAAATATTTTATTTTTTTCAAATGTACTAAAGAGTATCTCTCCCACTGTGTGGATGACAAACAATGTGGTGCCAAAAAAATCCTGTTCTTATCTGATTATAAACATAAAAATTTGGAAAAAGTATTTTTTTGACCTTATGCACAACTCGTTAATTTGACTTAAAAAGTCACTTTTAATAAGTCACTAAAGGACACTTTTAATAAGTACTACTTGAAAAACTTTAAATTAATTCATGGTAGCAGTCAAGACATTGTGATTGAGTCTTTTAAATGTTCAATAAATAATGTTCTTGAGAACTTTCCAATAAATGTAAGAAAAAATGAAAGAGAAAGTGAACGAAATTGTCTTTTACAGTTGTTCAGATAGTATTGAGGTAATACTGAGCAAATTTAACGGCCAATTAATTCTGACTGTGCTTATTTAAGACCCTTTGTGTATAGGTACTGCATAATAGAAACGTTACCAAATTTGAATGCAGTGAAGATCGAGTTGCCTTCACTGTTCGCACTTTTAAAGCCTGATAACACGAGCAACTGGGGATTACGGTAGTTGGTGCAACGTATATTTTCTAAACCCGTCAGCAGTTGGTCGCAAAGAGAAAACCGTTTTTAAATATGTTGCTGGGGAACATTGGTACCGTCCGGGTGAACCTCGGTGGACCGGGGAGTAGGCTTCAAACCTGCGGCCGCTTTGCAGCGGAGTGGTTCGATTCCACCTCCTGGGCGAAAGCATTTCTTGTCTCATGTATTAGAATGGCAAAAAGTGCATGGTGTTGCTGTTGGCGAGAGGAAAGTGAGGCGTATCGCTACAGACGTAGAGTGTTAAGAAGGTGTACTTCTAATACAAACACACAGATAAAAGATGAAAAGAGAACAACATAATTGTCAGACAGTGTTGTTCCTTTGCTTCCTTTTTGCCCTTTTCTTATTTCTTTCCGTTTTGTCTTTTCTCCCTCTTCTTTTCTTTGGAACCAAATTGCTTTATCAGAGATAAGCAGGCGAATACATTTGATACCATGAAATACAAAAAAACCCAAATAAATACACATTTAAGCAATGAGATCAGATAGCACTGCCAAAAATGAGTTTTCTTTCTTAAAGCAAAATGAGGGAATTATCAAGTGTAATTGATAATTGACTGCAGTTAATATGCTTTCAACGCTTGGTTAAATTAATTTTTAAATATTGTTAGTGGTGAAAAATACGTGAAAAAAAACTGAAGTTTTGAAAACTTTTTCTGTTGAAGTCTGCTCAATAATTAGCCAAAAATGAAACATAAACTGTTTGGTAATGCTAAAAGCCATTGTATTTCTTCGTTAGAGTCAGAAAAATATTTGCTTCAAACTACTGTTGATAAAAACGCTGTAGTTAGCAGTCAATTAAGTGGAACTCGGCCGTTATGATAAGCAGATTACCAAATTACTAAAACATTTCAGCCAAAAAATTTCAGTGAAGTTTTTTGCCTAACATATAGCTGAGACAAAGCTAAGATTCCATTTGCCTGGTATTATTTTGAACTTTGAATTTTTGAACAACTAGCTCCTACTACAATAATATGCTGCCTAAGAAAAGATTAATAATGAATATAATTATAATAATAACGAAATAATAACATCGAGATAAGCATTAGTTTCATAAATAATATGTAAAAAATGATGATGTGGAGAATTTTATTTATAAATAGAACTTATTTTAACTATTTAACAATTTTACAGACAATCAAGTTGTTTCAAAACAGTACACAGTCACAGTCTGTCTTTTTTCTCGGTACATTCAAAACAAGATAAAGTTTTTCAATTACTACCGGTTTTGAAAAAATATTTGATTTGTTTTTCCACAAATGTCTTTTTTTTCACCAACAATTTCTTCTGTAAATATAAACAATAATTTACTTTAATACAATGTCATTCAAGATTTATCACATTCTTAAACTTTATCTTCAGAATTACCACTGCTTTCTTAAGCCTGAAGATTAGTAGATGTTGTAAATTTCTTGAGATAAATTAAGCTTTCAAACAGTCTCAATAAGTGCTCAAACAAAGTCAGTAACGTCGCTTGCCATTTGGCACCGTCTATATTGAGGACTGTTTTAGGCCCAAATATCCATTGTGAATCAATGGTCCAGCATGAAACCGACCCTTGTGACTGTTCACTGAAGCTGAAAAAGGATTTACAAAAAATTTGAAAAGAACGATCATTTTTAACATGTCTTCATTCTCTACTATATTTGTTTACAGAACCTTTATAAAAAATAAAAATAAACGATGATATAAATAACCAACTGTTGGATACTTCTGAATAATAAATAACATGTGAAAGTTTAGTTGATAAGACACACAGACGTCAAATTGTTACTAGCGTAAGCCGACATTTTCATCTTTATTACGATTAAGTTTATAATTTTGTAAATACTTACTTGCTCGGGAAGTGTTTGTTGAGATCTGCTCTTTATTCGCGCTTCTTGGCTTGATTAATTTGTCAAAAACAAATAACACTAAGTAAACAGCATTGAATCCGAATTGCCTAGAAGAAATCCAATCACAATAATAGGACTACTTGGCATCTTCCTCTTTTTCTTCTTGTAAAGTAACAAAGAAAGGTTGCTAATTGTCAACAATTATGCATTTGAAGACAATACCCGAAGTAGAAAGCTTGAGCGACAATTTCAAAAGCACGAAAGAATGGATTGTAGGTTATTTCAATGTAGTTCAACAGCGACGTTTCAAATACAGATGCTTGTAACAATCTCATACAGTTTATAAAGTTTTGCGGAGTATTCAGCAATATACATATCACTGCAATCGTAAGCCAACTTCGTAAAGCGTGAGCGTGATGTTTCTGAAATTATTTTTTATCTTGTAATAGGCAAATCTTTTCCTGTTCAGAGCTCTTCTAAGTGGAGAACTTTTTAGATTCAAGTTCTTCACCGTTTCAAAGCTTAACTTGTGAAAAAAACTGTTTTCCATAGAAGAATGCACTTATTTTACTCACTTGAATAGAAGCACTTTTAATATTGATAATAACAGTTCGTAAAGCTCGATTTCTTCTCTTAAAGTTGGATATCAGATTAGGCGAAGTTCTGAAAATAGGCTTAAATTGAGAATAAACCTTTTTTACAGTTCAATGACAACTTTTCTCAGACTGAAAAAAAAAAGTAGTAGCAAGAAGCCGCTGTGATTGGTATGTCACTCCAAACAGAATGCTCTTTATAATTTTTGGTCTTTAAATAACATTATTAACGTTTAATAAACAACGAATAGGTCTTCTGTGCACAATTTTTTTTATCTACTGTTATATGTTGACCAAATACGAAAAACTAACAAAGATATCTTTATTTTGAAAAAAAAAAAAAGCTTGATAAAAAATTGAAAAGTATTAGTTTTGTCATTTTTTCCTCTCACTAAAAGCTTAAGTGTAAGCCTTGTTAGCATTTATTTTCTTATGTTAATACAGTTTTACTATTTGAAAAAAATGCTAAACTATTAGCTCAGTAAATTTGTTCAAGTTTTTTTCTAGAAACAGTTAATTTTCTTATGCCGTCATTATACTATAGTTCCACTGTTAAATGACCGATAAAAAAATATAATGTCTCATTAGTGTTAGTATTTTTTTTTTTGCCCATTTAAATAAGCAACATATACTTTTTATTGGCAAATTTACTATTTAAAGGAAGAAAAAAACGTATGTGGTATTCTAGTCTTGTTGTATTATGAATATAAAGAACAATATTTTTTTACTACCCAATTTATTAAACTATTAATTTTTTTATTTTACACTTAACTAGCTGTCTATAAACGTCAGTGATAAATAATTATTTCTTGTTGTTGACTGTTATTTTTTTAACTAGATTAAAATGTTAGTATGCTAATGTTAGTGAAAAAAAAAAAACTCACACTCCTTTTAAGACCACAGAGGCATCCATAAAAACAATCATAGCAAACGGTAAACAAAAAGACCAAAGAATTTCGAGTGCGTGAAAAGACAATATAAGGGTTTGAGAAATCACTGGTGCTTCCATACATTCAACATAGGTGCCACCTGCTGGTGCTCGTGTAAACGTTGCAACAATTGTAAATAACAAAAACCCGTTGACACCAACTGATGTACACTGAAATTTGCTCTCTTTTAGCAGTTATTCTATCAAACTGAAATAAGAAACGAAAAAGAAACCTGAATTTCAATATATTACTTTGGTTTGTTAAGCAGAAAAATTGCCTTAGACAAGGATATATCGATATAGAGATGTAGTCATTTGCAAAATTTATTAAGCTATCTTTAAAAATTGATAAAATGTCAACCAAAAAATGCCTTTTCCCTTTTACCATCTTTTTTTGCGCTGCTTAAATAGCTAATGCTTTTTGCTCGTCAACAGTGAAAAAAAAATAGCGAGAGAAGAAAAAAAAAAACATTGATACCAAATGAAATATACAATTTTTTTTTTTGTGTGTGTTAATCAACAGAAAATTAAATGAAACTTTTGTTAACGCAATATGCATTATTTCTTCAAATATTCA